TTAAGCTATTACACCTATTGTTTTTTTCCTATGCATCACATTTCATATATGTACGTACTTGTGTGCACACAAGCACATACTCCACCCCATGATTAACTTTTAAAAGTGATTTTAATTATTTGCCTGGACAAAGTGTCTAATTATAACAAAGCATGTGACAAAACCTGTACCACACGAACTACTCATAAGCCATTGTCACAACAGCACTCAAGCACCAGCAGTACAGACTCTAGTTATATCAAATGACCTGTGATGATTTACCACAGTAGCTGTAATTTAGAAGTTGGTTTAGCTGAAGTGACACAAAGGGTTTAACACAATAGAAAGGTAGTTGCATTCGTGCATTTACAAGTGCCACTTGCTCTGCTGGTTCAACTGCAAGCAGTAGCAGGCATTGTATTACATTACACTGCGAAATCAAGCACAAAAGCTGTGACCAAATCCCCCAAGAGATTTGCTATAATTTTAAAGCCAACTATCTCCTTTACTAGTTTATGCTATCTTGCATACACACCGGTCTAAAATTACTAGTATAGTACTCCGCTTGCAGGAACTTCTGCAGGTCTCCAACGTTATTTAAAGTTGCACTCATTCCAATGATTTGTGTGTTTTCTGTAAAACAGAAGTTGAGATTGATTGCCATGTTAACAACTTTTAACACTTCTGCTCAGTATTTAACTCATTAATTCGCTTCTTTATCATCAGTCTTCTAAAACACCCAAGTAGCAGGTTTGAAGGGTTTGAATAGCTGAGAAATATTATCGAGGCAAACATACAAAAGGAATCCTTCTCTATATAAGCATTTAATTGGAATGGTTAAGGGGCTCCTACAAAGAAAAGGAAGATGTTTGACAACACTCAGGATTTCTCAGAGAAGTAGTATCAAAAAAGCTTCAACAACACCCAGCCCATCATTACAGGGTCAACTGACCAACACTTAAATGAGCAGACACTGGTACTGCATGAGTCATGCCATGGTTTGCAAATGCAGGCAGAACACCACAAATCCAGAAAGCAAAAGTATTGGCTTCTCTCTAGAGATGCCATCACTACAGCATTTTAATAACAGCAACTGCAGCCAGGACTTACTACTAGTGTAAAGAAGTTTTGCAAGGGTAATTTCCAGAGTTGCTCCACGACTTCCTTCACCAAGCATATGCAGCTGTGCACAGAAAATGCAAGAATGTTACTGAGTTCAGAATATTTCTACAAAAAACAAATTACACAGCCCTAAACAAGTATTGCAGGAATGTCTTTGTTGGGCTTCCTGGTACAGCTCTGATAAATTCTGACTGCTAAGCTTCTTCCAGAAGTACAGGCTCACCAAAACAACATTTAAGAATCACAGAAAATCAGACCTGAGAGCAAATGTAAATACCAAGATTTACCTTCCATTTAACTAGACCATAACTGACACAGTTAACTCCTGACAGTGAACAGGCAACGTGAAGATCTTTGTATTCATCAGCCCAAAGGAATTTTAAACAAACCATGTTTTAAGCAACACTTGCAGGGGAAGTTAATCTAAAAAAATCTAGCAGCCAGCTACTTCCAGAAGTAGATCTTAATCTACCTTCTGTTTAGAAGCCACCGTGTTAAAGTAAGGTCAGCCTGAAGCATTTAATGAATTAAACATCCCTCTTGGATGTTATACAGGTGACTCAACCCTTCCGAGCACAACTCAGCCACACCACTAAACAACAGGAGGGGCAATTCTCACAGTCAAATGTTACCTGCTATTATTTTCTAAGGTTTCATTTAGTCATTATTAATACCAGACAGAAAGTCCCATGATTTCACACTCAGGCATTCAGTTCTGGCATTCATAAAATACATTCCATATATTTAAAATTATGTTTTTCCCAATCCATTAGAGATGTCTAACTGGCAAGTAGTTACTAAGTAATTCACCATCAGTCACTAACAGAGTAGATACCTCAGTATAGAATTTATTCCTGATACAACAACAAATACTTCAGTTAAAAAAAAAAAAACCCACAAAAACCCCCACACCTTTCAATATTACTGAATCATGTACCAAGGCAGAGAAAACTCAGTTCAGCAGTAATAATGTCACAATAAACACTCAAATCAAAACCAAGTAATCAAAAGACTGCTCTTTGCTAATAATAGTATATTATAAATATAAAAGTTAACATATTATCAACCTGAGTAAATCTTATAGCATACCTCATCTACTACAACCAGACCAAGGTCATCAATTCTTTCTGTTTCAATTAAGGAATTCACGAGAGCATGTCCTTTTTCTATAGTAGCAATATAAAGAGACTTTTTTTTTCTCCTCTTGAGTGGTGGAAATCTTCCTTTACTTCCTGCATATTCTTCAACCAGGAAGTCCAATTCTACCCCAAAACTTGATAAACCCCTAACCTGTAATAAAAAAAAAAAAAAAAAAAAAAAAAAAAAAAAAAAAAAAAAAAAAGGAGATAAATTGGAGAACAAGCTAACAAACTTATGCTCATTTTGGATTTCAGAGCTGCCTCAAGAACTCAACATGCATATAACCAACACACAATCAGCCGTCTGAATTCATAAAACATATGAGCTATGACTACCTTTACCAACTGCAAAGTGGAAGTGTTTACAAATATTACCAAGCTGGGGTTACATCTGTTCTCTAAAGTTAGCTTTTCCTTTATATCAAAAAAAATGTCAGCTTTTATTTAAAAAACATTCCTTTAGCAAGCTGGGCAGTACAGCTTTTAAGACTGCAGAAGTATACAGAACATTACAAAAAGCTGTTATTTCAAAATTCAGCATCTTCACCTCGTAATTTAAGCCTATTTTATTATACAATTACTGACCCTCAGAGCAGCATTTAGGAGAGAAGTCACTCACTTCACACCACACAGTTGTGAAAATCACGGAGTTTGCCAAAACGACCAGCCAAGTAACAAGGCATATCAGAAAAGAGAAGCAGTACCAGAAACACTGTATCCAGACCTTTTCTTGGACTATGGCAACATATGGCAGGATCATCAGTGCATTCTTGTGCCTACAGAGCAATTCTTGGAGAATTATTATTTCAGCTACAAGCGTTTTTCCACCACTGGTTGGCAAGGAGTATATTAAATTCCTTCTTTGCTGTAGAGAATCTAACATTAAGCAATCATGCTGCCATTCTGCAAAATTAATAAAGAATTATTAGCAACCACCAGAGGCATGTTAATCAGTATCCCAATGCCTGTGTTTCATATAGAATGCTTTAAAATCCTAGTCTTCGAAAGATTTTCTTCAACAAACTGAGTGACAGAGCATTCTAAAGTATTCTATAAGCCATATCAACCTTTCCCACCCATCTAATAATCAAAACAACTTAGTAAACCAAAACAACCACTTTCCAACATGGTTTACATTAAATTTTACCTCAACTTAAATATTTTTACAGTGTAGCAGGTAACACAGGCAACACTTCACCAGCAATTTTTTTTTTCAACAAACCATTAATTACATTACCATAAAGTGTTTCAATCCCTCGAAATTGCCTGAATAGATCTTTAACTTTGCTAGGTAATCCATAAAAAGGGCCTATATCAGCAGAAGGCGATTCAATGGTTTTCCTAGCAACACAAATCTCTTCAGATAAAACAGCTTCTTTAAGCTGTTTGGTCTTAGAGACCTGCAAAGTCTGGGCTTTGGCATTTACAGTCATAGCACTTTTCAGATGATCTTTAAGACTCTCAGCTTTAAATAAATCACACTTAGAGTCTGAGGAAAAGTCAGTAGGTCTGTTCCTGTGTTCAGCATCAGGACAAAATGATGATGGACTCCTGATTTTGACCGAGGAAGAACTGACGAATTTATTCCTGATTTCTGAGATTGAAGACAGTCGAGAATCAGACGAAAGTTCATTCATTTCCTCAAAATACAAAAGTTGTGAGGATGGCAAGTCATCTAAAATAGATACAGTCAGTTCTTGATTGTTATCCACTGGGTCGTTTTCATTCATTTGGAAACCCTCCTCTTTGTCAGCTTCAAAAACAACCATGTTTTCTTTTGTAGAAAAATTATCATTTTTCTGGTGAATTCCTGACTGAAGATTCCCAAGGACAATTTCTCCTGCTGCTTTTATATCCTTATTTTCATCCTGCAGGTATTTCTGCTCTATATCATCAACTTGAGCTAGCAAAGAACTATTTCCACAAAAGCTGTCAGGGTCACCAAACATATCCTCTTCACTATCGTTACTGCACTGTAAAGACATAACAATGAGTGTTAATGCTAACGCTCCAGAGTAAGACCGAGGAAGGCGGCACAACTTGTACAGCACACGCGCCGGATCCAAGTCACTTGCGTGCTACCAACTTAACAAGCACGTTGAGTGTTTTTCTGATGTTGTTGGAGGAAAACCCAGCCTGACTTCTAAAGGAACGCGTGCTTTAGCTGCGTGAAACTTAACCTAGAAGCAGAGGCGGTGCCTGCACTGGTGCTCGATGGCAGTGATTAAAGCTAGCGCCCAAGCGCATCCCCTCCCGGTACAACGGCCGGCCCTCCCCGACCAGCGCCACGCCACCCTCCCGGGCGGAGTGTCCCCGCCTCGATACGCGTGTCCGCACCCGCCGGCCCCGTACCGGGGTCTCCGCCGTGGGCCCCTCGCCGTCGGAGCTCGTTCTCTTGGGAGCCACCGGCGAGCAGGCGACACTGGGCTGCAGCGGGGCCCAGCCCCGCTTGCGAGTAGAGGGGGGGCGGCTTTTCCTCCGCACCGCGAAGCTAGGCTCAGCCATTCCCACCGCCCTCGGGGCCGGGACGTCGCCCCCCGGCCAGGGCTGCCGGGGAGCGGCGCTGGCGGGGCTGGAAGAGGACGTGACCGCCAGAAGGCGAGCGCGGCCCCTCCGCCCACTTCCGCCAACATCACTTCCGCACCGCGCCCCTGCCAGCAAGGCAGCGGGACGGCGCGGCGACCAATCGCCTGCCCGGAGTGGGGCCAGGCCGCCCTACCATTGGTCAGAGGAGGCCGAAGGGGCGGGGAAGACTCGTGTAGACGGAAGTGGCGCCGCTAAGGGCGGGACAACATGGCGGCGCTGGCTGTGGCGGCGGCTAGGCCTTGGTGGCGGCTGGTGCCCGGTGCGTGCTTCGCTCTGCGCTTCCACCTCCCGGGCGGGGCGGCGGGGCCGCTTCCCCCCCGTTAATTCTCTTGGTGTTTCCCTTGCAGCGGCGCTGTGGGAGCGGCCGCACCGTCTGCGGCACAACCAGCAGCTCGGCGGGCCCGACCAGGTGAGGCCCCTCAGCGCAGCCCCGGCGAGCCCCTCCGGGCTGGTTGGCTCTCGGGCCGCTGCCGTCCTCGCCGGGAGCGGGCAGCGGAGGTGTCGGGAGGCGCTTCGCTTTGGTCTTTGTGTAGCTCGGGCTACTACAAAAAAACAATCAACAAGGGGGGGCCCGACGCTGCGGGGGGGCACCGCGCCTTGACCTGTCGTTCAGGATTTTAAGTGTAGTTGCTTAAACCAGCTGTTTTGGTAACTCGGGGGTGGAGCAAAGCCTTTGGCAGCGCTGCTTACCTGTCTACAGCTGAGAAAAAGGTTGAAGAGAACGCACTAGGTGTGGTTGCTATGTCCTAAACATGTGTTTTCCAGTACCAGCAAAATAACTTCTAGAAACATCGTTTCTCTGCCTAAACTTTACCCATGTCTACAAAAAAAAACCCACGCATTTTCACCTTTCATTCACGTCTTGCAAGGATTTGGTGTTGGGTGTGTTTTGAAGCCAAAGGAGCCTTCCAGGTCTTGGAAGGTGTATTGGAATTTCTTTGTTAAAGTGTACGAGCAGACAGGATCTCCCTCAGGTCATCTACTTTTAAATTGCTTTCAAAAAAAGTCTCTTCTGACTTAACCAGACAGCACTACTGTACTCCCAGTTTCTGTAGTTACTGCCTTCCAAGTGGAGGGTGTAAATATTATTTTACTAATTGCTTTAATTGGCCTGTTCCATTGTCATTATCAGGATACAGAATGTTGTGTAGCTGTGAGAAGTCTTTTAGATTGCTGAGTACCAATCAGCGTGTCGGGGAAGGCTATTGAAAAAATTCAGTGATGCACTAAGTATCTCTTTTGGTTTCAAGGCACTTGGTTTTGCCTAAAGGGTAAAAATAACAAGCATTCCTTATTGTGAAGCTTTACAGATGTTGATAATTCTCTTAATTTCAGCCCATACACATGGAGAACCCCTATAAAGACCCTCCTAAAAGATGTGTCTTGTGTGGAACAAATGTGGACTACAAGAATGTGCAGGTGAGTTTGAAGATTCCTGTCCTCAGGTGAAGGTAACGGATCTACTGTTTTTAAATATGTGTGTAAGGAATCCACGAGAAGTGAAAAATTAATTCATATGCCTTAGGGATTTAAAACTTAAGAATGTGTGCAGGTAAGGATCAAAGAGTGTGACTGTGGTAAGGTGTTCAGTCTGCTACTCCTACGTGCAGGCGTCAGAACTTTGTTATTTACCAAACACAAGTCCTTAGTTTCAATTCTACTGTCATATAGCTTAAATGTTATCACACATGAAATACTAACTCTTAAGCTATACTTTTTGTTTGTTTGTTTCCAGGTAGAACCGAGTTTTCTAAAAACAAACAAAAAAGAAATAGAATGTAAATATTAAACTAAAGCTCTCAAAAAAATAATTTTTAAACTGACTTTGGGTTTCTTGATTTTTAAATAGCTTCTTTCCCAGTTTGTTTCTCCGCATACTGGCTGCATTTATGGCAGGCATATAACAGGTATGTGAAATACTAAATAATTTAATGCTTAATATTGGTCTTGTGCATCCAAGTAACTGTGTATCAGCCATGTTTCCAAAGGTAACTCCTGCCAACTCTGTACATTTTGTAATAGTGCTCCTCTTAGTAACCTTCATCAGGGAATGAAAATACCCCTTAATTATGCGTTTTTTTTATCTAACAGTATAAGCACACATGCCCTTTTTTTGTGAGGACTCAAAGCTGTCAGTAGCGTCACTTTCAGAAGTGTCAGTAGTAGCACTTTTACCCTTTAATGGTTTGGTTATTGTCGATTTAAGAGACCGAAAATTATTTCCCTCTTTAGGCTTGTGCAACAAGAAGCAGAAGGAAATTACAAAAGCCATTAAAAGAGCTCATGTGTTAGGTAAGTATGGTTATGCTTTTGAGTTTTGTAAGTCAAGCCTATGTTCAAACTCCTCCATCTTGTCTTTTTACAGGATTTATGCCAGTCATGTTTAAGAACCCATCATTTCTCACAGACCCCAAGATATGTAATATCAAGTATCCAGAGTAACATACTATTAAAAAACAAAACCAAACCAACAATAAAGCTACTTTTCATGTTTACATTCTTGTTTACTGGAAATCTGGTTGGCTAAAATAATGTATCACTGACCAAAGGCTGAATGTCAGTTGCTTTGGGGTTGTTGTGGTTTTTTTTGAAGTGTCAAGTCTCTAAAATTGAAGTATAAAAGATGAAAGCAACTGTATGGACCACTTCCTCTGCTCACAGGTCTTGCTAAAGTTCAGGTGGCTGGTTTTTCCCTTGCTGGATTAGAAGAGGGACAAAATAAACAAGGAGTGGAGAGCCAAGGAGACATTGAAAGATTGAAATGGTGGCGATTTCTGTAGACAGCTCATTCTGTTTAGCGTGTTACCTGCATTTTTTTGATGCTCCCTGCCTCAGCTTCTGCTGAGAGAAGGGCAGTGCTGCCGCTTCCACCAGCAGCTTGAAGCTATGTTACTCCAAGGCAGTATTGACACAGTTATAGGACTGCTAACAGCCTGCTAGCATAGTCTTGAAACCCTGAGAGAGCAAACATAGATTTAAATCTGGAAGGCAAAATGAGAGAATGTCACCTGGGCTTGTCTCTGTGCCAAACAAGATTCATGCATTGGAAGAAAAACCCCAGACCTCTGTGTCTTGGGAAAATGCAGGGATTTTTTTATCCCTGCAGGGCTATAAGTTGATATGCCACTTGAATATGCTGGCAGTAGCATTTGGTGCAAAGTCATCTGGACAAATCATTAACAGATCAGAAAGTAGGAGACTGTGGGTATTCATTTGTGTCCCTGAGTTTTTCCAGCACTTCCTCATCTGTTTCAGTGCTACTCAGTGTAAGCTTCCTTTCCTGGTCACTGTCCTCTTGGTCTTGAAGTAATTTTTGGTGAAGCTGCAGCGATCTGGACTTCTTGAATGACTTTGAACCTGTTGTGTTCCCTCTGACTTTCCGCTTGGTGAGGTGTCTTTCCACTTCGGTGAAGTCTCTTTCCTCTACCATGAGAGTCAGTTTGTCCATAACATTAATATTATGGTCGATGTTACAGGAGTTCTTAGATATCTGTTGGCCCTTGAAGGAAACAATACATGTCTGAAGTCCGGAATTGGGAAAAAATGTCTGCAGTGCCTGACAAAGGAGAACGTTCTCCTTTGGCTCTCCTGTGTAGTCTCTGTCTTCCCCTGAAAAAAAAAACAAACTACAAGCTAGAGTTGCAGTCCCCCTTGCACGCTGCCCTCAAGTTCAGAAGTGTTCTCTGCCCAAAGAATCAACTCTGGAAGTCTTACTAAGACTGGCATTGCATTTATTTAACTTACCTGAACAACTCTGTTGCTTTTTCCTCTTTATTTCTTCTTTTAATTGGCTCACCTCTGCTAAGAGTTTCTCTACAGATCGTTCACTGGCTTCTACTGTAGAGCATATTTTCTGCAAGGAAAAGAGCGTTTGGTGGAATTAATGGTATTCACAGAAGCTGACTTTAACCTTGTGATTTTAAGTTGGACGCAAAGTATTAAAAAGCTTAAACAATGATCTGGAGGTGGATTTTAGAGAGAGCTCACACCTTGTATAGAATGAGGTGCAAGATGTTTTACTTGTTCCCGTTTAAGCAGCGGAGCTCTGACAAACTACAGGTAGTGCTCCTTCAAAATAATCCTCTCGTGAGAATTTTTCAGTGGACTTTTGACTAAGCAGATGTCTTCAAGAACTTAAAAGTGTACAGCTACTAACAGCAAAGGGAACTTTAATCTTTCACTACAGGCTTCCAAGGCAGAGCTTTGTTTCTCATGATGGTGCACCCTGGGCAGGTGTCTGACTTGCCTTCAGTTCCCCTTGCAAGGTGGCATACATCTCCTTTATCTTCTGAACCTCTTGTAAGGATCCATCCTCATAAAAGAATTCTGACCTGTGGACCAAGAATTGTATAATTGCAAGTTAATAATCCCAGTGCTTACTTAGTAGGAGCTCTAATGAATAAAGAAGCATTCTGAGCTTTGACAATGCCTGTGTTGAGACAGACAGCTGCTCCTGTCAAAGTGTGGGACTGAATCGATTCCCAGGTACCTTGGAAAGGTAAATAATTGCAGGAAACAGGTCATCAAGTGAGCAGGGTACAGCTGTAGCATTTGCAAAAGCACTTAAAAGGATACTTATTAAAGAAGGATAATGATAGCTAACTGAAAGCTACAGCTCTCAGTAAATATGGCATATACTGTACCTGTGCTGTCTTACTGCTCTCACAAAACCAGAAGATAGACAGGAGCCAGACACTGTTCTGTAACCTTGCTGCTCTGCCATACCCAAGTTGGTAACCACCAAAGGAACTTTCTGGAAAAGACTTAAAAAGCAGAAGTGTGAGAACATGATTTATTAACATCCTCCATGATTTTTTTAACTCTGATTTATTAACAGCCCCTCTGATAGTTAAAGGTTCTTGAGGGTTATGCATCCCAGATGGAGGCCTGCAGCATAGCTATTTCTTGCTAAATGCAAGGCATCACCCATGGATGACTGCTTATGGCTGAAGACAAACTGCAGGAGCAACAATACTCTTGAGCACTGCCTCTAGTTTGTCCCTGTTCCTGGGTACGAGTCTCACAATAACACAATACTTGTTAAGCCTAGCCTATGGGCAGCATGTCTGAAGAGAGCTGAAGGTGACCACCAATAAATATCTGAAGGCTATGTGAAGATGAACACTATGCGTGGTTGAAGTCCTATACACACAAAACCAAAGTGACCAAGAACAGCTGATGTGCACAGCTGAACTGACAGTGTCTGCCTACTGACACTGCTGCTACAGATAGTCATCCCTGAACAGAACTCCAGGGTAAGATTTCAACAGGGCTCTAGCAGTATAAGGAATAATCTTATTTAATGTGTAAGTTTAAGTGTAAAATAAGCAGCTGATCCAGTTGCAACAAACAAAAAAACCAAACTTCCAAGTTACAGCACATGCTGTGCTGCTGCTTTATTAAAACTCGAGAACAAAGCAATTACCCTTCTTGTGGCCGATGTAAGGCATGTTCCAGTCTATAGGTAGAGCAACTTTCTGTCATCACGCTAGAGGTTAGTAACAGGAACACAAGGCCCTGATTTGATAGGTGTGACTGTAAATTCTTATGAAGAAGTCTCTCCCTGAACGTCATGGTCTGGTCTGTGTTTCGTCTGAATCTGTACCATCCTATCACACTCTGCAGGCAGAAGAAAGTTAATTACTGTTGAATCATTATCCCTGTGTGTCATATGGAAGCAAGTTAGAGGATTCAATACTAAGTCATGAATCTCAATTGTTTGTTGATGTGTAAGTACTCAAGAAGTCAGTTAACCTGAAACCCTTAAAACACCTAAACCTGATTCCAATGTGACAACTTCTCTCTTCCCTTCAAACCCACATGTTTAACCTGCCTGTTTTCTGAGCTTGTGCTCAGGCTGAAACTCTGCAAACTTTGTTCTGCTATCTTGCTGTTTGTCTTTTTCCAGCTTTTACTTTCCCCTTCTTAAGGACAAGGCTAAATTTCTGGGGGAACATGTGGTGCTTAACCACTTCAGCTGACCTCAACTGATCTTGAAATTGGTAGAATTCCCTGGAAATACCTGAACTGTTTGCTTGAGAAATGGATACGAAGAAAAAGTTGTGACATATATGTAGGCAACCCTAGTCAAAAATAACCTAAACTGTTCTTTCAGGGGAAAAAGATGATGCAGCTGCCTTGACCATCAGTATGAGGGACTAGCTATAAAAGAGGAGGGGGGAAAAAAAAAAGCAGCTTGATACAAGAGTTATCCTGAAGAGCCTCCAAAATCTGAGTAAGCTCCTTGGTATAGTTTTAAGTTTGAAAATAAAATACCTTCTTACAGCCTGATAGTATTTTCTTCAGGGCAAGTTCATTCAGTTCTCCTGCAGAATTATAAAAGCTAGAAGAAAATTAGGACAATTAGAGGATGGGGCGGGGGAGCAAAAGCAACTGTAGAAATAATTATTCCCTAGCAGTCTGGCAGTCATCTCACTTTAACAGGGCTTTTTATTCCCCCTAGTAAGCATAAAAATATGCAGACACAGCTTCTCTGCTAGGACAGTGCAGCTAATTTTATTACTCACATAGCTATGTAGGTGGTCTTTTACAGCCCAGGTGTTGGTCTGGCATCAGTGCTACTGGGACACGAGTTAAAGGTAGCATCTATGTTCTCTCAGCTACAAGATACGTTCAGTTTGTTACGGAATGCTCTTCTAATAACAATAAATTTTCAGAAAGATTTGAGAAGGAGATTGTATTGGGCTTCTCCCCTCAGAGGGGTGCAAACCTGTACAACTGTGTTCCCTTCTGTGATGAAACTCTGAATACTAGCTATGTGTTTTTTCTTTTTTTGAGGGTGAGGGTTTAGGAAGAATGCTTTTGGAAAAGCAATGGGGTTTTTTTCAGTATGCTGTAGTTTATATGGTATCATAGCTCACCAGAAGGTGCAGTATGCCTTATCTCTGTATGCACAGACAAGCACCAGAGCAGGAGAGAACCAAACCAGCCACAACATAAAGCATCGAGCGTCTGCAATTGCAAGGGGTTGATATGGCCACTGTAGTTACAGCTGGGTGGCTTTCTCAGTAATGTAAATTTAATCTTGAGGAGTTCAAGTTTAGGATTAATTTTAACTTTTTTAATATCTGTTTACTTGAGATTCTTACCTGAACAGCTGGTAGCATGGAATATGCTTCTGTATATCTGGAAAGAGAGGTAAGATTACTCTGGGTTCATCAGTTCAAGATGTATATTCTGTACACTATGATCAGAATTAAACTGGTAGAAGACCCAAGAAACATTTCTATTTAATTTCTTAAAATAAAATGCATAACATCTAATTAAATAAAGCTAAGAAATACTTCTAAAAAATATTCCAATTTATTTTTGAAATGTAAAGGGAACCATTTATATAAACTGTACTTTTTATCATTTTTCTGTTAAGTGAAAAAAATATTTTCCTCCCTTCAGTACAGTAGTAAGCAATATGAAAAGATTTCATATCTTTGAGTTACTCTGCAGCAAG